CTTCTGTTTAACTCAGAAATAACTTTATAAAGAAAATAATAAAAATGTACTGAATATACCAACCATATGGTCATTTCAAAAGATAAAAATTAATATGAATTTCATATATAAAACCATAAGTTCTCCCCAAAGTAATCTATAAATCCAGTAGAATTCTAAGTTGATTACCAATTACCTTTTTCATGATTGCATAGTTAACTTTAAATTTATATGAGAGGATAGAACACCATTAACAGTTGAGAGAAGTTTGAAAACAGAGGGGAGATGGTTTGTCCTACCATTTGTAGAGACTTATTATAAAGATATAATAATTAAACAAGGTATTTCCAAACCAATAAACAAGTTGGAAAATGGAATAAAATAACGGAGGATTATTATCAGTATATATAAAGAACTCAAACCAAATAATGAGAAAGACAACTAAATAGACTTCATTCAACTTTATCATAGAATATGTTACCCAAATTGGTTGAAACAAATAAATGTGTTAGCAGATGAAAAAAAAGAAAGAAGTAGTAGTTAAAACTCTACTCACAAAACAGAAAAAAAAAGAAAAATGGGCAGCAATAAATTTTCAAAATATAGCAAAAGAGCAATAAGCATATCAGATGATTAAACTCAGTAAGCAATAAAATGAAAGTAAATAAGGAAACAATCTCATGTGCATTAGACTGGCAAAATTTTAAGTCTAAAGGTAACAAAAAGATACAGAGAAAAAGAATATTTTACATTGCTTATAGTACTATAAAATAGTACAACCACTTTGAAGAGCAATTTAACAACATTTAGTAAAGCTAAAAATGCACACATCCTATTATGCAGCAATAGAATTTCTGTATTTGCCAAAGGAGAGAAAAAGAATGAAACGGGGGTAATATTTTGAAGAAACAATAGCTAAGAATTTTCTAGCACATACTAAAGAAATAAATCTACAACACCAGGAAGCCCAGCAAATCCCAAGTGGGATAAGTGAAGTCAAATCTATACCTAGACTAATCATGGTGAAACCGCAGAAATCCAGAGACACAGTATCTTAAAAGAAGGTACAAAAGAAAACACTGACCATTTTCAAAGAAGCAACATTAATTTGAATGTTGACTTCCAAGCAGCAAAAATAATAGCCAAATGCAATGGAGTGGTATTTTCATGTGCTGAAAGGACATAATGAAATAAAAACAAAACCTGCCAAATGAGAATTCTATAAATCAGAGAAACATATTTTAAAAACAGTGGCATATCAATGTCATAAAAGAAAGACTTTGCCACAAGCAAGCATATATTTTAGGAAATTCTAAAAAATGTCCACCAAGAACAAAGAAAATGATTTTAGGTGGGAAGTCCGGGAGGTAAAAGAGAATCAGGAGAAGGGGAGTGGTAAATACGTGTATAATTACACATGAATTTTGACTGCATAAATTATAATACTGGTGTCTTAGGAGTTTTGTTAGTATAGAGAATTAAGAAATAAAATAATCATTTTTGGCCTTTGTATTTCTAAATTAGGAGCAGACGTACCTCAGACTCTCATGACAGCCATAGTGCTATTATACCGTCAATTACATGAACTAAGATCTTGTGACAATTGTCTTTGCATCTGCCAGTACCTAATATAGTCTACGGTTCCAAGGAAGCAGTACAATGAAGGGATTCTGTGGTCAGTTTCTGAGAACTTAGTCCTGACTCTATCTCTTAGCAGTAGAAAAAGGAAAATTCTTTAACCCATATGTGCTCAGTTTTCTTAATCTGTTAATAATGGTGATACTAATAGTTCCTATTTCATAGAACTACTGTGGGGATAAAATAAGATACACCTGGCACAAATTGCTTAATAATTGTTAGCTACTTCTATTATATAAGAAAATAGAGATTTATAAGTAAATTAGTTATATTTTTATGATTTACCCAGTACATGTAAATATTTTTTGGCCTGATATATTTAATAACTAAAAACATCTGTTAAAACATTAAAAATTTTTTTTTGTCAATTTTGAAATAATTTGTCTCTATTCACTTGGAAGTGAGAAGGTATTTCATCTCATATTTCAAGATCATGCTACAGTAATTAAAATTCTTCATTTAATGTGAAGATGCTATATCTACAGGGTGTTTCCCAGCAACTGTGTCAGCCCATTTGATTCTTACCTGAGCAAAGAATATTGTAAAGAAGGCTTTTATGAATGTCAGTAATCACTGTCATTTAGTATATAATTGTAGAGGCAAAACTTTTAGCAGAATAAATATTAAAAAGCAATGTTAAAAGTCATCATTCAAAAAGTAGCACTAGTTTTGCCAAATACAGTTTCTGACTGACCCTACAAAAATTACATAAATGAGATTTAGTAATGAGGACACTGCACACATATAATGCCAATATTCTTTGTGAAAGTTTGTTAAATAGCAATCTAACTTTTATATTTAAAAAACCTACTATGATAATCAGTTTATTTGCTATTTGTACTTCTATTTTTAACACCAATACTGAAATATCTCCCCATGATTATTTTAGCTGCTTTATTCCAACCTCACATTTTGGACCATATCTGGGAAACATCTTCATAGGACTCCACTTAAAAGAAGACAGTGTCAATGATAGATCTATCATCATTAGTATGAGTTCAGGCTTATGGTACTTTCTAACTCTGACACAGACAATCAGAAAACGCTTCCTTGAGAAAACTGCAGAATTAACTAAAGTCTTAAATTTTTATTATTATTAATATTTTCCACTTCATTTCTTTCTCTGCCTTTATAAAAACCTTACATATACATATATATATATATATATATATATAACATTCTATAATATATGCATAAGAATCTTAAGACTACAGTGCATTATGTATAGGAACAGTAAACAAAAGTATACCCTCATTATTTTACTTTTAATATATTTTGCTTGATTGTGATTGTTTGCAAAAGTACACACAGGATAACTCATATTTATGCAACACTCTAGTTTATAAACTGCTCAAACACTATGGATCTCACAAGAACCTCATGAGACAACTAGATCTTGTGACTGCTTATATTTTCAAGAGGAAGTAAAACAAGAAAGACAACTTTGTGTGGAAACATACTGGATATCACAATACCTACCCTCGGAATAATTTAGTATAGGAAGAGGGCTGAGGCTTCACAGTTACAGAACTTCCTCTGTCTTGTTCTTCTTTGGCTCTAGTACATATGAACATAACTAAATAAAAGGAAATATATGCCATGTTTATAGAACAGAAGGTTTTGGATTTTTAATGCCTATTCTCCAAAATTGATTATTAGATAAAATTCTATTTCAGTAAAAATTTTAGCAGACTTTGTTTTGGTAGAAAAAACTCATCTATGGTGATAAAATCAGAACAGTGGTTGCATATGATGGGTGGGTAAGGTCTAACTGGAAGCAGATATGAGGAACTATCTGAAAAGGTGAAAATGTTCTATATTTTGATTGACATATGTAGTTCCATGAATACACACATTTGTCAAAATTCTGAGAATTGTGTATTTACAGTTGGATTTTGGGTTATTCCACAACATGGTTATTCTTTACTTATGTGGTTAGCACATTCTGTATGATCAGAGACTTTAATCTACTAAGTCAGTCTTGTTTAAACACATAAATAACACAATAACCCACACTAGTCATCAAGCATCTTATAAATAAAGGAAGGATATACAAAAGAAATCAAAGATCAGAAACCCTCCCTCAAGAAACTAATCTAGTAAGAAATTATAAATCAGTTTCGTGAGTTAGATCTTTTCATAAGGCTCTTGCAATTTCATTTTTTTATTATAATAGTTGTTTGCTTTGGGGTTTTTTGTTTATTTAGATTTCCTATTTTATGAATCTCCTCTTCATATCTTTTGCCCATTTTATTATTGGGTTTCCAGACATTTTTATATATAGTATAACTTTACTTTTCTACATATAAACTTTTAATAGGTTATATGTCTTCTAAGTTTTTTTTCAGTTTCTATCTCTTTTGCAGAAATATCTTTTCCTTTTTGGAATGCACCTTATGTATCATATTTATGCAATAGCTATATACTCTTGATATCAATTATTTCTAGCTATTTTCTGACCTCTATTGTAACTTCATTTATCCTTCAGTTATTCAGAAAATGTTTTGTTTTATTATTTTTTTTTCCTAATTTCCAAAGGAGTGGGAACAGGTGGGAACAAGAAAGAACATGTAAAAGGAGAAGGTCGGTGGGGAGAGGAAGGGAAAGTTACTTTTTTGCTTCTGTTTTCTAATTTAATACCCTTTGTTCAATGTTGTGGTTGTAGGATATTGATTCTTTAAAACTGGGAGACTTGTTTTGTGACTTAGTATGTGGGTAACTTTTCATAAATAATCTATCCATCCTTGAAAAGAATGGGTAGAAAATCCTGCATCTAAGAGTATCATCTAAACAGATAAGCTTCCTTTTATCTTTCTATGCTAATGAGTGGACTTTTCCCTAATCTACCATTTCATTAAGGTAAAATTTTAGTGGAGAATTGTGAGACTATCAAATTACTAACATTAGCACTAAATGGAATAAACAGTCTTACATGGATAAAAAGAAATGATTTAATAGATGATACTGCTGACTATATAAAACATCTAGCCTTAAGAATGACAATAAAATTAAATTTTTGCTTTTATTAAATTAATAAAAATCATAAGAGCTTTGAAAAATCACAAGTAAACAAAGTGAATTTCCTCACCAATAAGCAGAGCTGCACTTACTGTTTGCTCCTTAAAAACTCTGTGCTCGCTTCGGCAGCACATATACTAAAATTGGAACAATACAGAGAAGATTAGCATGGCCCCTGCGCAAGGATGACTCGCAAATTCGTGAAGCGTTCCATATTTAAAAAAAAAAACTCTATATAGTCCTTTGTTATTCATATTCAGTTTATCATATGTATTAGGGAAAAGTTATTCCCTTAATATTACACATAATTGCTTTTTTCTTTATCTTAACTCACAGCAATGTATCAAAGGGAATTCATTGCTTACCAATTTGCTTTCTGTACTGATCAACAGGAAGTTTTATAGTGGAGGCATCTTTTCTACCCATCTTTGATCTCCAAAATGCCTGCTGCAAAGAAAGAAAATAATTATGATGAATTCCTTAAAAAAGTCAAAAGGACTATCCACAAACTTCAGGAATAATCTATGCATAAAATTTATTTTTAAAGCAATGGGTAAAAATGCCTTTGACTAATTCCCATTAGGTATCAATAAAGAACACAAAATTCTTTCAAATAAATTATCAAGGATACAATTGCTAGTAATTAAGTTTCCCAATCATTTGTTCATGGAACACATCAGGTACTACCAATGCTCAATTAAACCACACTACTAGAGTATTATCTGTAAATGTGAAAATCATGTACTATTTATTCAGATGAGTTAGGACTACAGGCATGTTCTTGCCAATATATTCTTTTCCAATTACTTACTATGTTACACAAAAAGGCTATAGGTAACAAAAAATATATGAATTTGAGTCCTAATTCTGCCTCTATTTCTATAAACAGTATAAATTACTACCATTTACTAATATTTTCATGCTTACTACATATGCAGTTCGATTTAATCTACATATTGTCTTTCAAATCCTGTTATTTTTATTGAATTTAAATACTATGGTAGAGACTACAACCTACTTCCCAAATTCTATATTCTCCCTTACTTTCCAACACAGAGGTTAGACTATACTTCCCAGCTTCAATTCAAACATGTAATTGAGTTCTGTCCAATAGAATATGATGGAAGTGATGTGTGTCACTTCCAGACCTGAACGTTAAAAACTTCATTGAATCGAGTTCTCTCCTCTTCCAATTGGCTAGAATGGAAATGATTTCCAGACAAACCCTAAGGGTACATTTGTAGGAACACAGAACCTTGGTCAGCCTGGGGTGGAAGAGGATACTCTCTCTGTTTATCATTACAGTACTCTACTGAAAAAGGAATAAATTCTATTGTAATTGAGTCATTATACATTGGTGGGGTCTACTTATTATAGACTTAGTGTTCCCCAGAGTGATGCCTGGAAGTTGTTCCTCATTGCTTTTAGTAAGGAGCTACAAGATAAAGGTGAGGTCAGACAAGAACTGTCCATTTCACAGTAAAAATAATAGAGAGCCTACTCATTTGGAGACTAACAAGGTTGGAAAAGCCAACTTCTAAAAGCCAGAGTATGAAGTAAAAGTGGAAAAACAGTGAAGAACAAAGGCCCATTAAGACTTCTCAGTTTAAAAAAATAGAGAGAGATAAAGAGCAGATTAAGGATATTCCTCTCTCACCTAAACCTTCTATTTCAGATCACCTAGAGGCAGCCACTATTGGGTACAAAGTTAGAAGCAAAGGAGTTCTGAAGTATAGAAAGAAAGCAGATATGAGAATATGTCTAGGAAGGAAATTGCAGTGTGATTACTGTCACATGGAACTAACTAGAAATGGTGACAAGGTTACTAAAATCAAAGGGAGATATAAGGAAACTGAAAGGTCATTTAAAAAAGTCAATGAATGAAGACCAGTCTTTGGGCCTCTAAATTTAAACCAGCAGAGTGAAGCCCCAAGGAAGGCAAACTGTAGATTTGTAACATCCACTTCACATGTTACCAAGGAGAAGAACAGTCCAGAAGGCAGAGCCATGGAGAACAACTGATGAGGAAAATTCTCTAACAAGACCACAATTTGGGTCTAAGCAAGAAACTTGTCAGCAAAACGGGTGCTCTCCATTGTCTCTCATGTAGCAGGCTCCATCATCATGATGGAACAATGACTCTTGTGTGTTTCCTGTTCTTCCCAAGCTTACCTTTCTAAATGTGTGATTACTGGAGAAATGAGCAGTTATCCCCTGCTTCACCATTATTTATTAGGGGGTTGGTGATGTTGGGGAAGAGGAGGTAAATTGCATAGTTTCTAAACCTGAAGGAACCACATTTCAACTTGAGAGGGAGAACTATGCATTGGCTTGAGATGCTTGACTTTGTGCAGGATGCAGTAAGTGGGGAACTTCAGAATCTCCTGACTAGGGAGGCAGGGAAAAGGATGTACATGGCTATTTCACGACCAGAAAGGTGGAGTCTGGGAAAAACTGTTGGCTGTTCACTAAAATACATGTTCTACTTTTTTTTTCCTGGGCAAACTTGACTACATTTTCCAACCTCTTTTGAGGTGGGCATGTGATTTAGTTTTGGCCAATGGAGTACAAGTAAATTGTTTGCTACTTCTAGAACTAAGCTACAAAAACTTCCTATATGCATTCATTCATCTGACTGAAATGGATATGATGTGATGTAGATGGATATAATATGACACTGGATATAATGTAGATGGCAGAGCCTATGACATCCTGGACCCTGAATGACTGAATGGAAAACAAGCTATTCAACCAACTTGTTTTCCTCTTTCATACTGCTGTGAGAAGAAACAGACCTGTAACATATGAGCCTCCATACATTTTGCATCTATTTTTCATACTAGATAATATTACCCAATTAAAACAAACATGCCTAAATGTCTCCATATAAACTGATGCAATTATCAAACTTCAATTATCCTAATGACCATTATTAAGTTTTTCAAATGTCAAATACATTTGAAATCTGTTCAGATCTAACTGTATTGTTTATTTACATATATGGTCACACAGATAGAGCAATGTTAACAATGATCCCACCTAATATAGTAAAAGACAACCCCAAATTAATTTCTACTTAACGTGTAAGAAAATAGTAAGTTCAGCTGAAACTCTACTTTTCTATTCATAATAATTTTCAAATTTCATACTACGGCAATATTTTGGAAATTACAAAATGAGACAAAAAGTCAAATAAAGTTTTTACTTCTAAACCATGTTGCTTACATCTAAGACAACGTATCTTTAATACTTAGTAAATGAAACTAGACATCATCTAATCCTGTTCTCACTTGTAATTCAGAACTTTAAATTAATTCTGTTATAGAAGTACCATAAGAAATTTCAAGAGATATAGTATAATTTATTCATATTTCAATCCATTTGCACAGTTTTGCATTTATTAATTGCAAAAAGGAGTCAAATTATTTTCATCTTGATTGTTTGAAGCTAGAAAAGTTATTACTCTATTTTAGGAGAGAATTTAGTTTAAATGAATAAAACACATAAGACATTATTCCCTCTTCAATTTAGTTCTTTTTTTTTTTTTTTGCCTTTATGGAATAGTTTAAATCTTAAAAAAGCAAATTACTAAAGCTATCTACCAAAATGATCACTCACCACATTTCCCCCAGTTCTTTCTCCCCAATTCCCTCCTGCTCATTTAAACCCAATGCCTCAACAGAGATAACATTTTAGAGGCCAGTATTTTATTCATTAATTACCTATAATAAGTAAAAAAGTACAGGATCCACAGTTGATATTTTTTGAACAAAGTAAATTGTATTTTACCTACTTTACATTATTACCTAATATAAATTAACAATATTATATCCCCAAAAAACTAAAGAACCTAAATTCTTATATGGGTCTAACTAACTCCATGAACAGACACTATTTATATGTATAATCCTGTGAATATTAAAACAGTAAAAGAATTTCAAGCTAGGAGACACACATTAAAGAGGAACTAGTTTTAAGTTTTTGTTCCTAATTATTTTAGTGATTGGTAATTTTTAATTAAAATTTCAAAAATTTATACTTTATTCTTGTCTATTCAATTATTATATTTTAATCTTTAAGCAAAATAACATTTTACCAAATGTTGAAACAAAAGATACTAGAAAACACACATATGCACAAATGACTCACATTTTATTAACTGCAACAAACACAAGAGGGTGGAAAATATTTACTTTCCTACTAAACACATTGAGGCTATTTTAAATGACGTTAAGAGCTACCTATTCATCATACGTATGGTGCAAACTATCAATGCCTCAGACATCTAGAACCTCTAAAATGTTCTGACTTTTCTTTGTTCTTCAAAGCCTTGCAGTAATCATCATTCATTTCTACTGCTTTGATGGTTAGATAGCAAATTCCCAAGAAATCCAGGGAGACATTAGCACATACAGCCGCAATTTCTAATAAGACAGCTATTTGCATACAAGATCAGCCACAATTTAAAATATGTGTGATAGATGTGGAAAGGGAGTAGCAGATTTATATTAGCATGTACAATACCAAGATTGTTTTCACAATTTAATTCCTTGGAGATTACATCTCATCACTTTCTTTTATAAAGAACATTATATTCCCTGAGGAACTAACTTGCTCTGAGACCCAGCTAAACTAAAATATGGATTAATAAGATAATATTTATTATTTATGAATTTTGCTTTAGGAATGATTTAAGATTAAATCATCAGAAGTTTTTAACATTCTTGAAACTTGATATCACATTTTTAAGGAAGAAAAATGCTAATTTTATCTAATACCCAAATTGCATATTTAAATAATTCATAATTAATTTTTATTTAATTAAAACTTTATACACTTTAGGACTTTTAAGATTAAAGAGACTGTTTTGTTTTCAATAGCCTTTCTTAACCTGAATTTTGCATAGCAATTTGCTATACATATATTAAGGCATAATACGTGACCTTTAAAAACAAAGGTAGTGTTATATTCAGTCACATTCCAACCATGTTATTTTATTGCTAATTTATATCTTTTTTATAAAATTTAGCTATGAGTAAAAAAATAAAAGACCTGAAACCTTCACATATGTTTCTGCTTCCAGAAAAGGCATTCAATCCAGACTGTGACATTTAAATACAGATCAAAACACAGGTTATTAAAAATGTTCAACCCATGACCACAGAAAAAATAATCATCTAAGTTTTTAAGGCTACAAGATAAACCTTTACCTAAGAAAACTCTTCATTAGATGTGAAGTTATAAATAAGCAGAAAGAATATTTGGTTATAGCTGAATCATAATTGAGAATCAATCATGAAAATACAATCTTATGCTAGATGCTGGGATGAATAAAGTAGTGAACAAAAGAGACACTTGTTCCTGATCTTACTGGGTTTTCATGATTTCCAAGTAATGTAGTAAAAATTCAAGGCTGATCATAAATAACATACTTAAGTCATCCAAAG